CTTGTGCCGTCCGTCGGCCCTCCCACCTCTCCTTCTCTCCCTGCTCTCATGGTCTTTCTTGGATATAAAAAATAAGTCCCTTTCCTTTTCTCTTAAAAAAGGAGCTTCATCATCTTTTCTTGATTGCCTGGTCTTCTTCCAGAATCCATGCCTGTCCTTCTACCCTAAGCAGTCAGTCAGGGTCTCCCCCCGAACACAGATCATTCACACCCTAAGAGGAATTTTTCTAGACAGGATTTTTTCTGCCCAGTGTTTATCACACAGAGCTATATTTTTTCTTTTGCATCTCAGAGGGTCAGCAAGGGGCCTAAGACGACTGGGTCTGTCCGGTAACAAATGCTTCACCTTGGTGACTTTCATGCATATGTGCATGTGCAAACACACACACACACACACACACACACACACACACACACACACACACACACACACACCAGTCCTTGGGCTCCCTGGAGCCCAATGTGGTGGCTCACCCACTACCAGTTCTCTGACAGTCTCACCACTCTCTTACTCCCAACCCAATCCAGGCCTGTGTTCTCACTCTCTGATAAATCGAGTCTTCACTATCTCTCTGTGTCTATTCCTTCTCATCTCTTTTAACAGCGTCCCTCACCCCTCAGCCACCACTCGGCCTCTCCCTGGCCTCCCTCTCTCGGGCTCTGTGCGTGCCATGGGCTGACACGGCTCATGTTCCACTGGGAGGCGCCTCTCAGGCTGACGGCCACAGAGACTTCTAGTAACTTACCCTTTCAAAGCAAAGCCTCTGGTGCTCGAGGGCTTCCTCAGTCCCTTGGGGCAAATGGGTTATATTCTTTAACCTGAAAAAGTCCCGGCTTACATGGTTTGAATAAAGGGCTTCGTATGAGGTCGACCTGATAGAAGACTCATGGCAAAAACCTACAAACAACAAAAATGAATTTATAAACTATGGATAAAAGTGCTGGACAGAGGTTTTATCACAATCATATCCATGTTCGTTCTCGTGGCAAGCCTGGGATATAGCGAGGGCTCAGACAGACTTTATTAAATTGAAATAGATTAAACTTCAAATCCAAGATTCTCAATGATCTGACCTCAACCTAAGTTTTCATCCTTTTATTGCCCAGCTGCCCAGCATGAATCCTGGGTCTTTGTAGTCTCACAGCACATGGGGAACGTTCCCATCTCCATGCTTTTGCTCCTGCTGCTTCTGCTACTTGGAATGCCAGGGTCGCACTCCAGAGCTACAGACCTGTTTGTCAGTGATGCCACACTCGATGTCCCCAGTGGAATGTGGTTCTACTATCCCCAGCACCCCTGCAGCATGTCCTGCCTTATGCCCAAGTGCCCCGAGGGCAAGGTAAGGACACCAGGACACAGGACACACAACCCAAATGCCTGCAGAGGTAAGGCAGGTGGTGTGAGTGAGCACAGCTGCCCGAGTGGGACGTAGGGTGAAAGGACTACGCATGCCAAGTGCAGAGGGGGACCTGCTCCTCAGTTCAGCCAACTGTTTCGCTGCAAGGATGGTTGCCATGGCTGCCAGATTGGATTTTCTCTTTCAAGAGAAGTCAGAAACCCCAGTTTGCATGTGAATCTTATCGGATTTTAAGTTCGTCCAACTATTTTACATTTTTAGAACAAATTCTGAGTGGGTCATGCTGAATTCAATGGGTCTGTTTGCAACCTCTATTCTAGACCATATAAGTATGGACAAGGTGAGTCTGACTAATCAGAAGAACAAAACTGTTCCAACACCCTCAACTCAGGTGACGTGATCTTGTGGGTGATGAGCACTCACAAACATTACTGCAAGGTGGCAGGAGGAGCAGAGATGACAGGAGCAGGGATGAGCCATGTGGGTGCCCACTGGCGTGACTGAGGTGAAGAAGTTCCTGGGCAGTGGGGTGCTGGTAAATGGTTAACAACCACTATTCAGGGGGCAGGGGGCAGGTCTAATTTGTCACATTTGCTGATCCCCGTGGTACATGTGCTCCCACCATGGCTGATTCTAAGCCACCAATGTGACGTCACCGAACTCAGGGTTGATAAGAGACGCTAACGTTGGCTTCTGTGAGTCAGCTCTAGCACGCCCAACTGTTTACAGATCAGGTATCAGCAAAAACCCAGAAACACCTTTAACCACCTCTTAAGGACTCAGCCTAGTGTTGGGAAGGCTGTGACCTATGTAAAAACCTTCACACAACCAGGCATGAAATGCGGCCACCCTCCTCATGTCTGTAATCCCTGTTAATTGCCAATTGACTTCATAGGGGCTGCTGGTCACAGTAAGTGGCGCTTAGTCTTAGTCGTTGGAGACGAGTGGGGAGGAGGAGGAACCAGAATGAAGAGACAAGGAGCTCTACATCGCTGTGCCCAGAAGGGCAGAGGACCCCGGGTGGCAGAAAGGACTAACAGATTGCCTTTCTCCCATCACAACCTATTCAGCCACCTCCTGGCTTTTCACCATGATGGAGAAGTGAGAAGCAGCCAGGGGCCATGGAGGGGAGGAGAGAGAATAAGAGCAGCATTGGGAGAGATGGAACGAGGCCACTCAAGTGGAGGAGACTGAACAACACCAGGTGCCACCCTGAAAGATCAGGGTTTTCAGAGGCCTGCCCCCCAGCATGCCCTCCTGCTCTCCCCTAGGATCTTTAATGAACTTCACGATCTTCTCTGTGATCAGCACCATCTTATCGAAGGCCGTGCTAGAAATGTGGGCAGCTCAGTGGAGCATCGTACCCCTCCAGAAGCTGCCTGTGTTCAGCAGGATTCTTTTGGTGGCAAGTTGGACAAGCCTAAGCAAAAGGATGTGTATTTTGACTTTTGTAAACCAACAGTGAGAAGAGCTGGGGTGTGGCTGGGCCTCACTGATGACTGGAAACTTAGGGCTTGTTAAGGTGACTAATGTATATATTATTATATATACACATCTGCAACTAATCACATATAACTATATATAATTACATATTTATATGCTATATATTATATATAATATGTAATTATTAGGGCTTGCTAAGGTTATTCATATATATTAATGATATACATCAATATATCAATATATACTTATATTTTATATAATTATATAAAATTATGTTTGTATTCTATAAATTACAGTATGTTATATAACCATATACTTATATAATTTTATATATTTTAATAACTTTAGCAAGACCTAATAATTACATATTATATAAATATATAATCACATATACCATATATTCTATAATTTAATTACATATTATCTATTATATATTATTTACATAATTATATATTGTATATTATCAATATGTTAATATTAACATATTATCGCTATATATAATTTATTTAGGCACTAATAGGTGCCCTTCATGTTTGCCCCTTTTTCCATATTGGCAGATTCTTCTGACCAATTTTCATTACTAGGTGGGATCTCCAGCTCCCAGGCTCATAGCTTCTCTGCTGCAACCTCAGAAAGGAAGGGCTCATGTCCTCAATACCAGCTCAAAGTGTTGGCTAAGCATTGCTTTGGCTGCCCCTGTGCCACGTATGGGCCCCATGGCTGTGCATGGGAAAGGGTCCATTTTGACAGCCCCTTTTCCCCACCACCAGGAGCAAATAGTTGGAAGACAGACAGGGAGGATCATTTCTCAAAGAAGACACAGAGAAGCTTCACCAGAAGAGGGGATTGGGTGGGGGAGATACAGCAAATAACTCCCCATTGACTGCTTCCATTCAAGAAGTCCTTGAGCTTGGACTTCCTAACATGTGCTGCATGGAGTGCACATTCCATAGGATGTTCCGCAGTTGGTGCTGTTTTTCCTAACATTCTCAGATAAGTTTTGGTCCTGCAAATAATGAATTGAACAAGTTTTGTTTATTCTAGGGATTTTCAGAATGTCTATTGTAAATCATCTAGAGGAGAATATAGGAGTATGTTTCTCAAACCAATTTGACTATGAAACCCTTTACCCTGTTAAATATTTTCAGGACCAGTATTCACTCCAACATGCTTCGGAAATTGTTGCCTTTAAGCCTAAAATAATGACCTGGAGCCAAGATGTGGAGTTCTTCCCTTTGTTAATCCGGAGAAACCATCCTGAGCCAAGCAATTAAATCATCCTAGATACGACTTCGAAGATGAAGACCCTGCTCCATTTCCCTCAAGGCTCATCTGCTCTGCTCGCTTCCTATGCCCTTTATTCCCAGTTTGTATCCTCATGACCTTGCCCGTAAGTGCCAGATCTCAGGTTCAGTCAGCCCACTTGGAAGGCCAAGAAAACCATGGAGCCCAAGCATGTAGAGACTACGGCTGTCTAGGGGGCAGTGGCACATGAATGTAATGGTAGCTGGGATTGGCACTGCCCAGCAGAATGGTGATTCTGCAGGCTAGACTGAGCTAGTGTCACCTGCACCAGGATGCTCAGCCACAGAAGGGGAATGGCCAAAGATAAAGGACCTAACACTGTCTTCCAAGACCCAGTACCATGAGCCACTCATGGCAGCCCTGGGAAATGCCTTCTCTCCTCCTCCCCACCAGTGTTCACTGTGTCAACAGCCTGGCTTAAAACTCACCTTGGGTCAACCCCACTAAACCATGACCAGAACCTGTTAGAAAAGTATGCTCAGGTATAACTCTTCCAAAGAGCTTCTCGGTCGGTGTCTCTTTAATAATCTCAAAATAAAACTAAATAGACTAAGGCTTGGAAATGTTTTCCACTGTAACAAATTTTGTCATAGGAATCATTATTAATATATGTACTTTATCAAGCACTAACTAGGTGCCAGGAATTCTGCTGTGCTTTATGTACATTACCTCATTTTAACTTCACAAAAATGTTATTAGATGAATACATTTATATCTTCATTTACAAATGAGGAAATAAAGCCCAGGGAGACAAAGTAAATCATCCAAGGCTACGTGATGCCAGGCTTCAGGGTCACCCAGGCCCATCCGACTTAAACTGATTCTTTTAACCCATATATCCACTCAAGACAGCCTGCATCAGGTTACTCCAAAAATATGTGTCTACATTCTGTGAGTTTCTAGTGTTATTATAACTATAGAGCAACTGGGAACCTTTAAGAGGAAAGCTCTGGGTGTTCACATGGTTCGTCACATTGCAGAGATTTCCACATGTGCCTACAGGTGGCCTGGGTGTCCTTGCTGACACAGACCTGCAGCCTTGGATCCTGGGATCTCTGAGCACAGCCCCCTGGCCCTGCTCAGAGCCCTCTCCCAGTCCTCTCTTCCCTAAACCCTGGGAAGGCAGCCTAAGAAGCCCTCTGTCCATTCACTTGTTTCTCTTTTCCAAAACCATTATCCTTTTTCTGTCCTTCACTTTATCTGCTTTTACTCTTCTGATTACCACCAACATTTACAGCCATTCAATAATTGTTCAGTCATGTCACAGGTGGCTACTGTTTTGTTGGGACTAAGATAAACACCACGCATGCACACACACCTGTGAATACACCTATGCACGCACATACATGATACCTTAGGAAAACCACTTAATATTCATGCCACCACTAGTATGTGACAATTTTGCTGAACTTTCATTTTCTCATTTGTAAAATGATGATAATGGTAAATTTCTTAAAGGAACCTTCTGATAATTAAATGAGATCATTTCTGTAGTGTCTGACACAATGTCCAGCCCTTCAGGCACTCACTAAATAATTGCTGGCACCACTACTATTCCAACATCCCCTAATAATAGATAGTGCAGGTCACTCCCTCATTCATTCAGATCTTCCTTTCTTCACTCACTGAGTGAATTTGTTCATTCATTTATTCATTCAGGGGTTCTGGGGTCTACCCTGGAAAAAATTGTCCATGAGTGGCCTCCTGCTTAACTCCTCAATGCAGATTATCTTCAGAAAGAGAAGAAAGGGAAAGGTCAGAGACGTGTATTAATACAAAGATTTGCTGAGTATTTACTTTGGACCAGGACCTTAATGATATTCCCTAATTTGATTCTCCCAGAAACCCATGTAGAAAGTATCTTTATCCTCATTTTTTAAATGAAGAGACAACATTCCATAGAGATTAGGTCTCCTGTCCAAGGTCACACAGCTGGTGAGACGCAGAGCCCAGATTCCTTCACAGATGTTGTGTTCTGAATACTGTGCTTATATCTCTGAGCCACATGTCTGCCCAAACCTCTAGGGAATAATCAGCCTTGAAGAGGAAAGTGTTGCCTTGAAAAAGCAGAGTGCACAGTGACAAATGCCATTTTCCTTTTTAGCGCTTTGCACTACAACCAGTCCCAAACACATATCAGATAGGAGCTGAAAACCCCTGGTTAGACAACTACAGTTCCAAAAATAAAATGTAAGCCAGAGAGAGACTAAAAACCAATAGGAGAGCAAACTATGTGGAAATACACACTTAGAAAAGAGCAAATGGGTCTCATCTCCAAGAACAGTAACATCAGAAGACCATCCTCAAAGTCTCTGATGACCTACTTGTCCTGAAACCTATTAATACAATGAGCCTGGAGACACAGAGCCAGCTGGAGTCTTTATTCATTTATTTATCTATTCATTGCCAAAAGGTGTTTCACAACTGCTATACTTACTCAGTGCCTCCCCTGTGCTAAGTACCAGGGACATACACAGTACCGGGTTCCTGCCCTCACTGAGTTTATAGTCTAGTGGAGGCAAGAAGGAATTATTAAATAATCCTATAATAAGTGTATAATTTCACTTACAATAAGCACTATAAAGGAGGCCCATCTGGAGCTAAGAGCATCTATAATGGGGTGAATGGCCATAATCAGGAAAGCCAAAGGTTCCTTAAAGTAGTGATGAGTTAAGTTGAAGGGGGGGAGGAGAGGTTTATTGGTGAAGGTTCCTAGTTGCAAACAAGTCACCTTTAGCTAGTTGAAGACAGCAGGCACCTATGGAGGGATATCAGATAGCTCCCAGAATCACTGGGAGGATAGGGAACCTGAGCTTCCAGCAGCACCATCTCCAGCAGAAGCAAACTGAGGCATGAATACAGATACAGGCTGATGATCTGCAAGGATCTCCAACTTGCTTTGTTCTCTCCATTTCTTCCCCTGAGACTTTCACTCCAAGCTCTTCCTGTGATTCCACCTCCCGAAATGCCATGTCTCAGCTAGGACAAGCCACCTGAAGGAGAATAAGTGAGTGTGGAGAGCAGGCATAAGGGTATTCCCAATGGGCTCAGATCTTGTCACTCAAGATCATGCTGCTCCCATGCTCAAAACCCACAAAGAGACCTCCATGACCTCAAGATAAAAGTGGAACCCACCACACGACTCCCAATGCCATTAATGAGTGGGTCACAACCTGCATGTAACAGACACGTGCCACCACTCCTTGCCGGTGTGGAATTCTGCATTCCAGAGCTCATCCAGGTGCCCATCAGACTGAGCCAAGCAGGGCTAAGGCTGCTGGAAAGAGAGAAGTGGTCACAAGGAGCTCTCTGAAACAAGTAAGTATTTCTCTGCAACATTGATGATGGGCAGCCACAACCCTCCTCTGACAAGACACGCTTAAAAAATGGAAAAACTGTGTCGTGTATTTTCTTCTGTTAATAAATAATAGTGTCATTTTCAGTTTATACAAATATGTCAACTCTGTCACTTGGAAGGAGAGTGCTTTGATTAAAAATGCCCTCTGTGCATTCTCTCTATCTCTCAATAGTACCTGGAATGTTATCATGAAAGCCCACTGCTAACAGGTTTCAACCCCAGCTAGCAGCTGGTTCTTCCACTTACACAAAGTGCCTCCAACTGAGAGATTGCGTTTGACAGAGGGGCCGTGGGACAGACTGCTCACCACTAGGAAATCTGTGTGTGTGTCCAGCATGCCAGGACCACGTTTGCTACCAGATTTCCTCAACTCATTCAGGCAAGAAAAAAGTAAATATCCTGTCTAGATTCAAGGATAAAGGTGGTGTTGATGAGTGTGTCTCCTCAGGTACATTGAAGAATAGCCACTTTAAGTTGATAAAGTAAATTTAAAGTTATGGTTTCAGAACAGTGTGTTTGCTGAAGTGGAACCCCTGAATTTTTTCAGGGGTGAAGAGCATACTCAGCCTGCACTGTCATCCTGGGCTGAAGTCAACGTGGGCTTCAGAAATGAGGACCCCAGGAGGATTTGATCTGTACACAACGAAAATCTTAACCCAAGACAGATTGGTTTGAATGCATTATTCCCTGACATAAACATCCCCTGGGGAGCGCTGAGGTAGGCTAGCCTGGGGATGTTTTTTTCCTCTGTGAGAGGTGAAGTATGGAAAGAGGGCCCAAGGGTGCACCAACCCACGGTCATAGTGCAGTTTATATGCACATTACATGGCTATGAAGGCTTTACATTTTCTGGGATAAAAAATATTTCCCTCAAATAGAATCTTCTGTTTTAGGCAAAAATCATGTACCTTAAAAACATCCCCAAAATCATAGAACTCCAGATTTCCAGGACTCTCATTCTGATTAATATGCCAGAGAGAGACAGAAAGAGAAGAGGGAAAGAGAAAGGGAGGGCAGATGAAGTGATGGGGGGAGGCAGGTAGAAGTAAGGAAACCAGCCCTCCCACCTCCTTCAGTTCCTTTATAGATTTAATTTACTGTAAGATGAGAGTTTTAACCCAGAAAGGGGGAAAAACCTGTAAATTATTTGTAAATTTAGATGTAAACATATTTATAGTAGACACAAATAGAGTTAAAAAAAAATTAGCCACTCCAAATAAGTTCTCAGTTAAAAACTGGACAGATTGTTACATAATCAAAGTGATAATTTCTTCAAAAATACTTCATTATAAACAACATTGTGTGTTTGTGTGAGATGGAAACAGAGAGAAAGAAAGAGAGAGAGAGAAAGAAAGAGAGAGAAAGAATGAGGAGGCATGGTTAGTTAACACTTGAAATAGTGTGAAAAGGAATCCACACTTCAGAGAAGAGCTGCTTAAACTCTTTAGATACAATTATCAAAATCTATACAGGATATTTGCTTACCAACTAAAAAGAGACCAGAAACATGTTTTCCAGAACCTAACAGAAAAATGGACAAAAGAAATGAACAGACAATTCACAGAAGAGGAGACTCAAGAAGCTAAAAAGCACATAGCGATATTCTCAAACTCATTAGTCACTATGAAAATGCAAATTTAAACCAAAATCAGATGTTACGGACCCATCAGATTGGCAAAAACTACCACCCAAGTTGGTCAAGGCCCTTGTGCATTGCCGGTGGGAGCACAGGCAGCGCCCGCCTTCTGGGAGCACCCAGCACCCTCACCCGGACTAGGGTCTCCCCTCTGAGCCATTCCCAGCAGCTCTCACAGACGCACACGGTAAATGGGCATGCCTGTTGCAGCACCATTTGTAGTTCCAAGAGTCAAGGCCAGTCACAGCCATCTGAGGAAATGGGTAATGAGTGATGCGATGGGTGTGTGAGATCAGCATGCAGCCTCGGAAGCCACCTGTTGACGATGGCAGAGCCCGGAGATGGAACCAGCTGAAGGAGAGCTACCTGCCAGTCAGTGTCCTGTGTGTTTTAATTCCTTTTGAACTCTCTCTGGATCCCATTCTACTAAGTGAAGTGTCACAAAAATGGAAAAACAACCACCACATGTACTCACCATCAAATTGGTACTAACTGCTCATAACGTAAGTGCACAAATAGTAATAACATTCATCGGGCAGATGGGAGGGGAGAGGTGTGGGGGGTATATACACAGGTAACGGGTGTGGTCCACACCATCTGGGGGATGGACACACTTGAAGCTCTGACTCTAGTGGGGCAAAGGCAGTATATGTAACCTAAACATTTGAACCCCCATAATATGTTGAAATAGAAATATCTTTTAAAAAACATATTATAGGAGAAGGCTGGGAGATATAATATTTTGTCCCAAAGTAACCATTGCACACACTCGGATTGTGTGTTTAGGTTTTTGCATTTTCTTAATTACGTCTGTTTACAACTGTCTCCTTATCCCACACATTAACCAAAAGTCCTCCTCATTTTACGTTAAAAATAGCCAAAGATCCTTTTATTTTTTAAAAAAAAGAATACCAAGGTGTCAGATATGGAAGGTTATAAGAAAATGGAGCTGAGAAAAACTCAAACGCAGCTCTCTTGGAGGGAAAGTATAAAAAGAAGCCAATTATAAATTTAACATCACTCACACTGGTCAAATAAATGTGTATATGTTAAGTTTTTAATTATATAAGTAACTTTATTTTAACCCACTTAAGTTCATGAATTAACCCCACTAATTGCCTGTTCAGCATCCATTCCCACTTTCTTGCTAACTCACAAAGTCAAAACTATTCAGCCCCCCTGGCACCCTTGCTGCTAAGCATGGAGGCTTAATTCAGTTCTGGCCAATAAGAGGTAATTCAATTTTTGGCAAAGCTTAGAAGGCAAAGCTTTGTGAAGAGGTAGCCTTTTGTCCTTCCCCTTCCTTCTCATTCCTGTCTAGACCCTGGAGGAGAGGCTTGAAGGGCAGCAGCCACCCTGTAACCACAAGGCACCAAGCCAGTGGCAGAAGATGTGCACACTGAGGGGACAAAACAGGGAAATGTGAAGGAGCCTGGGTCCCTGGTGGCCTTGCTCAGCCACAGTGACAGCCTGGACTCCCTACCGCTCACCACCCTTATAATCTCTTATGCTAATGTTAGTTGGTTTTCTACGATTTGCAGATAAATGAATTCCTGATACCATATTAATCTTTTGGCACATTTTCAAAGACGAAGACTTCTATTTAAAAAAGAAGAAGAAGAAAAGAAAGGAAAAGAAAGCTGTGAACTTAGTGCTCTATAATTTATACAAATGCCCTATAAAGTAATTTAAATTAATAGTTTTAAAATGACATTCAGAGGTTGAGAGGGAGAATGAGAAAGAGATTGTCTGATAAGTAACGATTTCTTCTGAATATCCAATATAAAATATGTAATTGAAAATCTAAAAACCCCATTTATAAAAAAGTTTTTTAAAAACTTCTTTTAAAACTGCTTGAGAAATAAATATGTTCTAACCATGGGAAAAATAATGAAATATGTATATATAAGTATTTGTAAAGAGTCACGAGTTGTAACTTTAATCAATTTTAAGACAAATTCAAAATCAAGAAATAAGATGTTATTATGATTAAACTGTGCTTTACTAATTTTAGTTTTAAATGTAATCTTTCAATAAAAAGTAATTTCCTTATTCTGTAATAGGGTGGAAAAAATTTTTTAAATTAACATATGCTATGGAAACTGGCAACATTCTAAAACTATACTAAGTTGTAATAATGAGACCTTTAGATAAACATATCATACCATGAAAAATTCTTTCAAAGCCAAAAATTATTTCTTAAAAAAATTAAGAAAAAAATGACACTTTCAATCTGGCCTATGAAATGGTCGGTTGTGATCCAATAAAAGGGAACAGAATGATTCCCTAGCTTTTCTTTTAAGAAAACAAATCTCACATCTGAGCTTCATTTTCTCTAAATGATTGCTAACTCCAAACTTGGAAACCTTTTATTGAATGCTTTTAGTTCAAAAGAAATAAAAGCGTATTGTATAATAAAACTGGGAAAATTAACATTTCATAGTTTAGCAATTTCCTTATAAATTAGAATGAGAAAAAACATCTATTGGTAAATTAAGTTTTTGTTGAAATGAATTCTTTATAAGTGATTGTGTGTTTTATCTCTGTAGTATTTGTGCAGTTACTACAGAAAGCAAGGATAGAAATATATCATGACATATTTTAATTATGCCATGATTAGGTTTTATAGCAAAGACAAAGTCGCTAAAACTTTTTATGACTGTAATTTTCTAAATTTCTTATATTTTCATATAAAAACAGCAACCATCAAAAGAAGTCTAGTTACTCTTAATTATAATTGATACTGGAAAATATATAAATGTAATGTTAATGTGGTATTGCAATTAATATTACAAATAATATTTCAAAATCCAAATAACTGGATTTAAAAATATAAACTGCTTCTATTGAAAGCAGACATTGTATTAATAAAATTATATAGATACATTTACTTTTTACTTCATTTAGATAATTTTCAAGAAAAGTATTTCAGTAATGCTTACTAATATTAATTGTAAGCTATCTTATTATTAATTGCTTATATTTTCTTGCCTTCTAAGTTGGTTTTTGGGACTGTGGATATGTACAACACTGAGTGTGGCAGAGACATGTACCACCCACCATGGAGGAAACATGCTCCTCCACGCAATTAGATGGGGCTGCATGACTCGTCTTCCTCCATGGACTGTGGCTCCATCTTAGTGGTACGTGTCCCTTCTGGAACAAAACATTGCAGAGCCAGGTATGGCAGACCATCTCTCCTTTTCCTTGCTGAGAAAAGCCAAGTGTTCCAGATGGTGCAGTTTCAAGATGGTGGACCTTATGTCAGCCTGGATCCTTGAGT